TGCTGTGTAACGTGCCACACGGTCACCGGCTGCAGGCAGGAGAGCAACGACCGCGCTGACAGCAGCATCCCCTCTGCAGAGGCATGACATCCACTGGCCATCCCATCCCACCCGCTTCCAAGGGCAATGCAAATATAACCAAGGCCTGAATCCAGGTGTGAGAACCTATGGGCCAATCCCACCACATCTGTATCGCTGACAAGACCCTACGTGATCAATCACATGTGCTCCAGCTCTTCCCTGCCAGGTCCCAGCAACTAGGAAGGAAGCCGCAGGTCCCTGGGGCCTCCCCAAGGAGCAGCAGTAGGGTCCAGCAGAGAGACTTCAAGGAGGAAACAGTGGTGGGCGAGGCTGGGGTAGGTGGAGGGGATGTGGGTTACACCTGTACTACTCGTGGGTCAACCCTCTGGCCACCTGCAAGCCCAGACACCCTGAGCATCTCCACGGAAAAGCCTAATGCTCAGCCCCAAGACCTGGTTGGACCTTCAGGGCCAGAGGTTGAAGAGCGGCTTCTCCCCTTGCAATATGGGGACTCTCCTTGCAATATGCCTTGCGGATATGCAGAGCCCACGAATACGAGCAGCCCACCAGCACCGATCCCACCACTCCCTGTTTTGGGCTTCTGGCCCTTCTGTGCCCCACTTCCTACCTCTATAGTCCGTAAGCACAGAAGCAGAGACAAGTTGCCCGTAGACTACCAGGGCCCAACGCACGGTACAAGAAGCACGTTGCGAATGACCAGTGCAGGCCACAAAGTAAAGGTGCAGACAGCGAGGGGCAGCTCACATGGCTCGCAATGGCTGCGGTGACCCCGAAATACCAGTGCGGACGTACGGCAGAGCCCTTGGATGGGAAGAGGAGCTGCGCCCCGCTAATAACTAGAATCGGTCCCAAGACAAACTGCCAAAAAGGGTTTTATTTTTCCCCAGTGAAAAATGGCCTGGAGGTTTGCAAGGAAAAAGCTTCCCATTCTCATCTCCAAGCAAGAAAAATCTGAACCACAAAGTGTTTGACTTCTCGACACACGCGGGCTGTTTTCCGGTCTTTGAAACAATTCTGCGAGAAACCCAAGGAAGGAATTGAGCTCTGTTTACGCAGCTGTCACCACAACAAAACCCAGTGATGCTCAGCCCTAGCGCCCGTCTTCTCGTGCCACCCCGGCGCTTTACCAGATGCTCAGTTGTGGACGATGTTTGACACCTACCTTTGAAAGCCACTGACTTTACCCATTGATAGGGGCCAAATTGATCCCTACAAATGACAGTCAATTGAAGAGAGTCTGTTGACATGTCGTCGGCATGGAGCCTGCCCCTCCATTGTCGGCTTCCTTTGAAAATGAAAATGTATTTCCCTATTGATTTTGGTCTGGAATTAAGACACCTTTTTCCCCCTCCTTCCACAATACTGCAAGGCAATGTGGTAGAATCAGCAAGAAATAAGTAAGTAAGTAAATCAATCAATCTCAGGAGCACTGGATGTGTGTAGTTGCCTTCCGCGGCTTGCTAAGGGCGGTTCTTGGACTGCTCTTCTGCCGTATTTCCTTGCGTACCACACACACCTTTCACCCCAAAACCAGCTGCTGGAAACTGTACTGTCATTATATGTGAGAAATACGGTAAGAAAAGTTTCTGCCAGCAACAGGGAAAGTAAAACCTGCCCGTGACTCGCAGGGAACAGAGCAAGGAGCGGACTTTGCTACTCGGTTACTTGCTACAAGGTCTTTTTCCCCTCCATTCAGCCTTTCGAAGACAAGGTGTATATTATACCCTAGGGCGTGTTGTATGCCAGAAAATACGGCATATAAAGCTGGCTGGCGCTTAATCGCTGTCGTGGGTCAACAGATTTCAATTCTGTTGGATTGAAATGTAGGATTCTCCGTTTAGACAGCTCCCAGGTTGGGACCTCAGCAAGCCAAGGACAACGCTAGAAAAATGAATGTAGTTTGCGTGAATGGTGCCAGGCCGACAATGGGAAAGACGCACGACTTATTTAAGCACGGAGCAGATGTAGCCATGGTGAAGGGGTCGGAATCAAATGCTGAGTGTGTAAGACAATGCCCCTTACAAGCTTGGCTTCTTGACGATGCCAATTAGTGCTACTCGCTCTGTGCTCACTTCCTGACCTAACCCGAGCGAGCTGCAGGCAAAATGCTTAGTAACCCATTACCAGTCCTCTGATCACGCCACTGAAACACCGAGTGATTATCCTAATAGGATTGCTTGTTTTGCTGGAGGAACGCGATGTGTTTCTTTAGTTGCAAAGCCATTAATTGCTTATTCTTCCAGAAATATCCAGGGCTGGATCATTATGGGTGCTGGTGAGAATGGGTTTTCAACAGCAGGGCATATCACAGGGGCAAAGACATTTCTTGGGGGGCGCGTCGTTTCTGTTAGCTTTCCCTGGTGGGTGCGTCCCACGCCAGCTCCACAAGCGCTTCCAAGGGGGTTATATCTCCATGCCCGTGCAGGATAACACCCAAAGCCAACCAAGAGCAGGCGCTCTCGATAGCTCAGGCGCGGCACCACCGGGGACAGGTGGGAAGGGAAACCCTTAGCAAAGCAGGGACAGCGTTCCCTTGCATCGGAGACCTCCGTCCCCCGCCAAAGGGCACAGGAAACACCGAGGGGACACTACACGACGTGTGCCTTGTGACAACTCAGGCGTGAGTCCAGGTCTGGTCTCAGCACCAACTAAACAGGAAGCCAGCCTCATCCCCTCCAGGTAGGGTTTTTTAAAAAAGAAAAATGCACTCTTAATCACAGGTTTCCAGCAAATCAAATAGGAATGGGCATATTTTCTTACAAACAGGCACAGTCATATCTGCATTGCTTTATTAACTCCTTGGATCGTGTGACCGACAGCTTGCGAACACGCCAGGCCGTTTCCTGTAGGAAGGCAGCTTTATAACATTTAGTATATTATGCACGTGCATCTATTTCACAATCTTTTGTTCGCATCAATTCGTCATCCTTGTATTAAACAACAGTCGTGTGACCTCCCCCCCATCATTTTATAGTTGCAGTGTCATTTACATATTTACTTATACGTTTACTCTGAACGGTCTGCACTCAGACGTACAGGAACGGGTAAAGCAAGAGCACGACGCAGGCTCCTTCTCAGCAGCCGGTTCCCGGTCCTCTTCCTTTTTCACAGTTCCCGTAGGTCTCCGCATCTTTAAGGTAACTCCCTTTCCTTGACGAGGAGCTCTCCCTGTTGCTAAACTGGTAGACTCGCAGTTTAAATAAGTGGTGGAGCCTCTCTTGGAACTGGTTTCCAATGAAGCCGTACAACAGGGGGTTGATGCAGCTGTTGGCAAACCCCAGGCAGATGCCAAAGGGCAACGCGGTGTCAATAACTCGGATCACGTCGCAGTTGTTAACGACGCCCATGTGAACCAGGGCGTCCAGGAAGGTCAGGATGTGGAACGGGAGCCAGCAGAGCATGAAGGCCACCACGACGGCAGCCACCAGTTTCAAGACCCGGTCTCTCTTCTGCTTGTTTTTCTCAAAGCCCTGTGCTTTCAGCAGGTGCATCCTGATCCAGGTGTAGCACGTGGTGATGACGATGAGGGGGACGAGGAAGCCGAGGGTGTTCTTCATCCAGGCCATGCCGGCAGACCACTTCTCGTACTTCTCGTTGGGGAAAGCCATGATGCACGCGTTCACCCCCAGGCTCTCGATATAGTAGGTGTCACGGAAATAGAAGGTGGGCAGGGAGGACAAACAGGCCAGGCCCCAAACCACCAGCGCGATGACAGACGCTTGCTGCAGTGTCCTCCGCTGAGAGCGGATGGGGTGCACGATGGCCCGGTACCGGTCCATGCTCATGCAGGTGATGAAGAAAATACTCGCGAACATGTTGAGGGACAGAACAGAGCTCGACACTTTGCACATCACGGACCCGAAGAGCCAGTTGTATCCGTAGGCGTAATAGGAGGCCCAAAAGGGCAGGGTGGCCAGACACAGCAAGTCTGCCGTGGCCAGGTTGAACAAGTAAATGCTCGCGACGGTTTTCGAGCCCCTGTGGCGGCAGAGAACCGCCACCACCATGCTGTTGCCTACAATCCCCAGGATAAAGATAACGCAGTACAGCACGGGAATCAGCGCGAACTGATAGTCGGAAATGTTGAGCGAACAGGACGATGAGGAGTTCTGCTCGGCGGACGCGTTGGCCGGCGATGAATTCAGCCACCGGAGAGGCTCCTCGGCCAGGAGGAGAGGCTCAGAGTCGTTGCCGTACATCCTGGGGGCTGGGGCAGAGAGGGCGTCTGCTGGCTCGTCGGCGGCACGGACGCCGCTACCTCACATCGCTCACCTGCGCAGCATCACAAAACACGTGTTAAAGCGGTGCCCCGCGCGTCTCGGAAGCCCCCTGTTCTGCAAAGATAGGGTTATTCCAGAATAAAAACCTCAGAGCCAGAATATGAGACTATGTGCACTGAGATGAGGAGGACTGGCACAAAAGAGGTCACGGCATATAGTAATTAGGACAGGCAAAGCAGCAATTATGAGCAGGTGTCTGAGACAGGCACCGGGGAAGGGGGATGGACTGGGGAGCAGAAACGCAGCCCGTATCCAGGCTGCTTGTGGTCATTGCCTGGCGTCCCAATTCAAGTGAAACCACCCTGCTCCCGTGGCGTCAAGTATCGAGGTGGGCAAGCATTGCTGTCCCTGCAACAGCAGCCTGCAACTCCCTGCAGGGTGGGTCCAAAAAGGATGGAGCCAGTGAGGGCAGGTGACAGGACAAGGAGCAATGGGCTCAGGCTGCAGCAAGGGAAGTTGAGGTTGCATAACAGGAAAAACTTTCTCACTTAGAAAGTGGTGAAGCCTGGAACAGAGAGGTGGTGCAGTCTCCATCCTTGCAGGTTTTGTAGACAAAACCGGGGCTGGGATGATGTAGTTGGGGCTGGTCCTGCTTGGAGCAGGGGGTTGGACTGGGTCCCTTTCCACCCTCATTTTCTAGGATTTTGCTAAGTTTGAAACAGAGGCAGGGAGGGGCGTCGTGGCTTGCAAAATGTCACCCAGTGACAAGAGCAAATCTGGCTGAGGAGCACCGGCCTCAGCCCCGCAGCCCCAGATCTGCCCCTGGAAACAGGAGAAGGTGCCGGAGGATCGAGAGCCCGATCCTGATCCCCAGGAAGCCAGTGGGACTCATGCCCTCGGGGGTCAGGGGCTGCAGGATGGTGCTTCGTTTGAAAGACGCAGCACGGGAACAAGGGCCACGCACCGCAGAAAGGGACGTGCACGCGCCATGCACAACACCCTCGGGAAGCTGCTGCCTGAGAAATTTCTGTGAAAGAGCTGAGCAAAGCAAAGCAAAGCAGTGCACAAGCTTTGGGAGTTGAATCGATAGAAGGGCTACAACAGCTGCCTTCAATCATGTCTCATTAGCTGCAGCAAAGAGGCCAGGGCTGCTAGTTTAATCCTCATGGAGTCGTTCACATGGATGCTGCAAAAAATCCTTGCAGATCCTAAAAAAGCAGCATTCAGGGCACAGCCAGGGAAATCCTGGGGCAATGGGGAATCTCCCTGAGCCAGGACTCGAGGACGTACCTCGGGGCGGTCCAGTACAGATATTCAACAGCCAGAAACTGAGCCGTGAGGTCTGATCTGTTTGATTTACTCTCAGCGACAGGATCGTTTCACGTTAGACTTGACGCGCACGGTCACAGCGAAGCCTCCAATGTTTCTGCATCAGTTTAGCAAGAAGTCTCCAAAAGTCCTGGTATTCTCCATTGTTCTAATGATTTCTAACGAACCACCTCACAATCAGAAATAATATCCACCAAGTACAATGTACTGCCTAGAAAGACCTAGTGAGACTCATGCTTAAATACATTACTGCCTTAATGGACTGAGAATTAAATCTGGAAGAAGATGAAGCACCTTGATACATTCAGTGCCTCCATACTTGGAGTCATAAATACTAGATCTTCAAATGACATTACCGTAATTAAAAATGGTAGCTTTTTCCCAGAGGGGAAGGGGATTCACTAAATAAATTACTTTGTTGTGTGTCTCAAATCTCTGAAGTTAATACACAGGTATTCGAGAGCCAGAACTTGAGTCATGAGGTCTTATTTGTTGGACTGACACTGTAAAAGGACCGTTTCATGTTTAATTTTAAATACGGTGTCGTAGATAAGCCTCAGATGCTTCCACATGCACCGCTGTCTTCACATCAAAAAAGGATACAGGGAGGATTTGCAAAAGATGCTTCCTTTTACCATGCTGCTATTTCAAGCCCAATGAGGTTTTAAATAACGCGACTGATTTTTAAGAAAAGTCACGCTCATCTTACCTTAAAAATGGCAGATTTCAAGGGGAAGGCGGCTCTCGGTCGAATGTGCCCCCCTACTCCAGTGTCCTTCCAGCAGGCAACATCTCCAGCTCTCTGGTTTCTTTCTTATATGTTCTGTTTTCTCCACTGGGAGACTTCAACCTAAATGCATAACTCCAGGGCTGAAATAGGAAGGCTTGCCAGTTTGCTCTGCCCCCTCCCCCCCCTTTTTTGGCAGAAAAACACTTTGAGAATCCCCCTCTCGAGGCCACGTGAACACAGGCAATAAATCAGACGGGAGGAACGAGAAACCCAAAAAACTGCGGTTTGCACAAACAGACCAAGCTGGCTTTCGGGGCAGTGGTGCTCGTGGAGCTACGCCCAGCCACAGCCCCCTTCCTCCTACATAAACCCACATACGGCAGCAACGTGTTTTCGGGGGGGGGGGGGGGGGGGGAAAAAAAAAAAAAA